TTCACTAAGAGTGCCAACACCCATAAATAAGGCTGTAGTTTATTATCTTGTATGAGTTTCTTATTAGTGTCGCGTGTTTTTCTCTTTATCGCGTAAAGGAGTCTTATAATAATATAAGTTTACCAGATGATCCCGTTATATCCATGGCTTTTAAGTTTCTGGCTTTAATTACGGTCACTGTTAGCCGTCCGGCCGTTGGGAGATAGCAAAGCGAAAGCATCAATTTTCCCAAGTCCTTCCCTTTGTCCTATAAGAAGAAACGAAAACAAGTTCAATTTATAAAACCATTACCAAAGAAATGTTGAGGGAGAGATTGAAGAGGATAATCTAAAAACTAAGAGGCTTTGGCTATCCAAGACGAAGTGAATTTAAAGTTCTCGGATACTGCTTTCTAAGCAGAAAAATACCATTATGCAATAACTACAAACAAACTCTTCTCAGGGATCCTTGACGAAAGAAAATTATTTCATTAAAGAATTAAGTACCTGCGTAGCACATAGAATATCCATCGTGTATTCCACTTCTTGGTCAAGGTCGGTGCAATCCAATAACTCCCTCAGCACCACCTGTCCGATCAGATCGTTTCGAGAGAATCGATCGAAATCGTAAACCGAGAATTGGAGATACTGATGTCTCAGCTCCTCGAATGAAACGCTGAAAACAAACGCTGGTTAATTCAGTGCTGTTTTTACATTTGATCAAGTCCGCTAACCTGAATATGAAGGTTTCATTGAATACGGGATTTAAATTTTTTCGATGCACCTTCGTCTGATACTTCTTTTTCCGGTCCGGCAAGAGGTACACCTTCACATAGGGATCGCTGCTACCAGTCACGTCCTTCACTGGCAGCTCTCTTGCTTCCAAGATCTATAAATAACATTCTTTCTCCAGTTTGCAACAACAGTTGACAACCGTCATGACGACAATTTGTAACTCCCATTATCTCTGCCATAAATTAATGTACAATATTGAGATAATAACAGAATTACGGACGGTTTTCACGTCAGTCTGTGATACTGATAATATGACTCCGCCGATGTACCTACAAACGCTGCATTAAATATGCTGATCAACGATTTTAGATTCTTTGAAATTGGAATTCAATCATAAATTGTATGTGGTGTAAATGAATTTACTCAGCTTCGTAATACTTAAATAATGATATCTACAATATGAATAATTAATCTTTCTCCTTTTCCACGGCGCGATAATGTTGCTAATCTTTCTGCCATACAAATGTGATGCTGCTTAATCCCAAACGTTATCATAATCTCACTGCCTTGAAAGGGTTGTACGACGGAAAAGCATAATTCTATTGCAGGTTGACCTCGTTCCCTTATTTATGAGCTACCATGTCCCAGCTAGACTTATGAACGAGTCTGGTTACATGGTCCGCATACATTCAGCTGCGTTTTTCCAGGCAACGATGTCATATGAGTTTTTTTTCTTAGAACGTATTTAATTACATGTACAGAAAAATTAAAACGAAATATTGTGTGTATTAGACAATCCTCGGCAAGTGGTAATCAAACCGAAATTACGTTATTCAATAGTGCACGCTAAATACGGCGGTGGTATATTTGCGAGCATTTTCTAATAACATCGTGTTACAAAACGCTTCTCACTTGGACAGTCAATTCCAACTGCTCGTGATGACGTTTTTCCTATTATTGTCAATGGCAGTAATTAACGTCGTTGTACACGTAAATATAACATTAGATATTAATACAAGATCACTTTGAGATACTTAACGTGGCAGCATCTTGATTCATAGGGAAATTCAGATGGACATAATCGAGATATTATCGATTTAAGAAATGATCAAACTCACTTTAACTACCAGCCCCTCCATTTCCTTATCATATCGTAAGGCGAAATGCAGCTTCCCGGCGTACTCCATCTCCACGGTGCTCGAGCTTTCCGCGTCCTCTTGGCCCATCTCCTTCTTGTAAAGTTCTGGCTGCAAACGTGAATGTATACACGGCTAAAACTTTGAATGAACTGAATTTGCTAGTTTCGGTTTGTTGTTTGGAATTGTGATACGATGGTATTTCATTTTCGCTACGGCAAATTCTTTCACCACGTTTGTGAACAGATTAGGAATTATAAAACCTAGTAATGTAAGTTTAGATACTTTGACAATGCTGTTTATCGCTCTTTAATTTTTAATTTAAATTAACATCTGCTAAGGTTCTGAACTGTTCAAGAAATGGGGTGGTTTTTTACACGCTTATTTTAAAAGTAAAAACGTAGGGCGTAATTTCCTCTCGTATAAAAAAAACATAGTAAAAGAAGTCGTACGATACATTTATCTATGGGTACCTTAATTAATCCAAGACTGGAGTCGCTGCGTTTATCCAGGCTGCAGATGCTAAACATGATTGGCAAGTCGGTGAGTCGATGAGAAAGTTGCCTCTGAAAGCTCTGATGTCTCATCGGAACAATGGGCAAAGTTGTCTGACGCAGCACCTATAAAAAAGTCATACCCTGATATGTCCATCGCGTCCGTATACAATGTGTACTTCAGGAGTTTATCCCGGAAGTCAGCCGCCCCTTTGTTAACTCTTTGGCTGCGAACTTTCTTCCGCTCAGTTCTGCTACATGAAATTTTGATTCGCCTATTTCGCAAGCGTAGCAGATGAACCGGGCAACGAAGAATAAATAATTTCTATTAATAAAATACGGCAAGCGAAAAGGAAGTAGAAAGAAAGGATGCAAAATTAAGGTTCAATTAAGTTAAATCAAGTGTTCTACAACTCGATCAAATCTTAATACAATTTGGAGAGACTAAATTGAAATCGACATCTAAAATCATAAAATCTCTTTGAAATTCCTTCTATATTACATACATTCAATATTACATATGTATTACATACGTATATTTAGAATTTACTTTCTTTAAGACGGTTGCTCTTATATTTTTTTAAACTTATTCATATTAAACTCCCATCACATAAGAAACGTGACGATGAATTCATTCCTTTGGGATCGTACCTTTTTACTGTCCTTTGATTCTTGAACATATTCGTGAGTAACCGGTTCTGATTGAAGATCGGGTAGGGAATGACTGATGCGTATAGCGTTCTGCTGTGATAAGTCACTTTCAGCGTCTTTCTCCTTCATGCTCCGTTTCATCCTCATTAACCATCGCCAAGTGGAAGAACATTGGAAGCTCACCGCAGCTAGTAGCAATAGAGCCAACATTGCTACGCCTGTTCCTATCAGCAATTGATACGGGAACGTTTCCGACCATTCTTCTATGAACAGATTTGTAGAAAATACAGATAGTTTATAGAATTTCTAGCAGTCGATTAAAGGCAATAAATGTAAACTGAACAATTTATCTAGAGAAATACATTAATAATAAGTATTATTCATATTCTTTCTCTCGAACGCGTTAATTAAATTACGAACAATTGAGATAGAGTATTGGAGTTTAAAATTTAAATCGAAAACCGGAAATGTTTCATCATCCCGGATTAGATACACGAGAACAGAAATTAGTGTGTTCGTCAAATTGAATAAGCCTCTAACTCCTATTTCGTAGCGATTTGCAATAGCGGGATATTTGCACCATCCATCACCCCAAATTGCGTTACTTGCTGCGTGTTCCAAGGCTTATCTTTAATCCTGTCAAGATTTGAGTTCTACATCTGAATTTGAATGATTTTGATAAACACAAGGATATATTTAAAACCCAATGTTTTACATACATCTATTCTTTACCGACAATTTTCAAAGCCGATGTTCTTAACTAAAAATTTCCTATTATCAATTTTTTGTAAATGAACATGAAGGACAGTCTTTGGGAGGAAGAGCGTGGAACATTTTTTGCCTTCGAAGCTTGCAATATGCCGCACGGCTAGTCATTTTTGCTAGTTGATGGTGCTTAATACCTACTTAATTAAAGTAAAAATTATCAGACAGCTTGGCTAACGTTACAAAAGGAGCATGCAAATGAAAACTAACGTTCCGTGTGAGATACACGTACGCCTGGATGATTAATGTAAATGTGGTATAGCACAGCTCACGAGAAAGCGAAAGCTGGATGGATCCTACGTTAAACGAGCACTGTGTTGCGTCTCGACTAATTGGAAGAGACACCGTTTTATCTTATGTGCTGCGTTTATCAACGCCTCTAACAACAGGGACTCGTCGGAGACAGTTGAATTCGCGCAATAATACACCGACCAAGTCGAATAATGTTTGCAAGACGAGTGTCTAATGGCCCGAGACTTTATTAGGTATTCGTGTGAGTGGGACTGTTTTAATGAGCAATCATTTTCCAACCGGATCCTTGAGGGTCGATGCCTTCGCGATTTAAGTTCGATTAATCAGCTGAGAATTCGTATTACAGATTGTACAAACTATTGTACAAATATTTTTATACTTTATCGCAATATCATTTTTCAATACTACATTCTCACTAACTAGTATTACAATTACAATTAAATGCTAGATCATCAACCTTCTGTCTTTAATGCGCAAGGGATCGTTTTAACTTAATGGATGAAAACATGCGAACTGAAAATTTAGGATAACTACAAATTGCCACGAAATGGAATCCACGCCCAAATAGTTAATGCACGAAACGAAGGAGTGCCCGCTCGATTTAGCGTATTATTTTTAGATTAATATTTCGTTTTTATATTTGTTTTTATCACAGTAAAATCTGTGGATTAGAATTTTAACTTTATTGATGTGCAACCATCTGTTGAATCAGTATCTATATTTCCCATATTAAATATGAATATACATATGTACATATATAATAATAATTTATACACGTATGTAGAAGCATTCCAAATGCTAAGAATTATCATTTCACTTCTCCTTTTCTCTTTTTATTATCTTTTCTTCGGTTCTGTTTCTTCCGCGGTTTCACTAATTATTTTTTCCTGTTTTTACTGGTTCGATTATAACGGATCAGCGATTGCGGTGCCACGCGCCAGAGGATCGCAAAAAAGACCTGCACAATCGAGTTCCTCCATCATTTTTATCGTTGCACGAAGTAACAGCGCTGATCGCGTGACGAAGATGATAACGGGCGAACCTTCGGTCGTAAACTCGATTTACGGCTTATTCGTTCGAGTGAGTCCGCGGTCTCGAATCGCCCACGCGTGCATCGCTTAAGTGATTGATGGTAAACCGGTGAATTATGCCCCGGGCCATTACGTGTCCCTTAATATTCGTTTGCCACCACGCGACTCGATTCGCTGTTGCATTTTTTAGTGACCGTAAACGTCCCCACCCACTGTGCGTCTTAAGATCTTCACTTCACTCCCGCACGATCGCACTTCTCCGCGGCGGGATATTTTATTTCAGTCAGCAGAAGCGAACAGGTGAATGGGAAACAGTGAATTCATTTCTTTGATTAATTTCTCTAGCTATTTCAATAATGGAGATTAGTGAGATGTGACCGTGCTTTAATTAGAGAAGAGGAAATCGTAAATATGTATTTGACTAATTTCCCGAAGCTATTCTCATTTAAAGATTTCAATCTATACACATCGAATTAGAATTATGAGATCTATAGAAGACATAAAACAATCAGAAGATCTGAATCTATTTAAAGAGATTATTTTTCAATCGTGATGTAAAGATATTATAAGGTTATTGTTTCCTGTTTAAAATGCTGATCCAAGCACTTGGACTAACAGGTATTCCATGCCGCGATTGGTTCTCAAACGATATTTTAATTTGACTCGCAGCTAGTCCACCTCCAATTCACCACGAATTTCCTACTGTGCATTCCGTTCGGTTATCGATCACCATGGCTTTTTCTTTCTAAACGTCAGCCTTGGCCCTCGAATCCAAGTTGCGTGGGCGGCAAGGTTGTGCTGCTCACTCTCCGCGTTGCACATGTCTTCTACGACCATGGCACGAGCGAATTTTCAGCTCCTGCCTCCGTTTCTAATTAAGCGGAACGTGATATTCATGGGCTGTGGTAACAATCGATTTATTACAACTACAACGCAGCACATACTATTTCTGGAACCTGCTTTAGGACATAATCGGTGGCTATGTTAATTCCTGAAATATGTAGAAGGGACAGACGTAGGAAGATTTTAGGTAATATGACGCAGAGATTATGAAATAGATTTTAGGTGATGTGACGCAGCAGCAACAAGTAGACAATCAAACAGTAGCAACAAGTTGCTACTTATTGTTAGCACGAAGGCCAGAGTGTTTACTTTTCTATAAAACGCTGTAAAACACGTACAAGTCGGCATTATCATATTGCTGATGTAAACGTTATCAAGCACCATTATATGTTCATTCTTATTAGGTTACAATTAGACGCGTCTCAATTGAATTTAATGTCGATGCGACGTTGGACGCGATTCGGAAACGCGAACCACGTCGAGTCATCCATACAATTGAATACATTTGAAATACAGCGACACGCTTTTTATTTCCGCGTTCAACAAATCAATAACAGTGATAACGATGGAAACTCGTTCGCACGAGGGCAGTGAATCCCAAGGGTACAACTCGCGTAAATTAAAGACGGAATTCTTGGAAGACGTACCCGTCGAATCAGGCTTCAAGCCTGAACGTGTGTTTATTAATCACGTTGATAGTTATCACGGCAAAAAGCTGTTGGACGTAAGTACTTAACTACTAGGAGACGACTTCGTAATTTCCTCTGTCGATTTACATTTTCTTAAAAAACGTAATCTGAAGTGTTATAAGCTATGTAATCATGGTGGTAAAATATATAATTACGATACGCTATCTAGGTTACTAATAAATGTCAATGTCGTTCTTGAGAAAAAAAATTCATTTTGTACAGGGCGTTACAAGCAGGGGTTGGGAAGGTCCTGAAAATAACTGTTCCAAACTGTTATTCATAATACATATATCAGCTCTGATCGAAGCAGTTACGGAGTGTTATTCACTTATATGGGTTTAGGTTTCGGTTCTTCAAAACCGATATATCTACGTGTTAATGTCTGCTACATGAAAATTGAAAAGACCAGTTAAAATAGTCTTATAAAATTTAAGGTATCGGTAGGATCAAAATACAGAACCGGAGAGTATCAGTTATAGAATCGATATGTTATCGGTTCCGAAGTAGCAAAATCAAAACCGAAGTCAGGACCGACGTATCTATTAATAGTCACAGCAATTTTTCGGATCTCTATAACTGCTTTCAACTCCTGGTTACAGGTAGCTAGTACTTGTCGTTGCTCATCAAAGTCATAGACTGATAAAGCTCTTCATATTTCAAGATTTAATAATAGTATTCGAACAAATAAAAATAATTGAAATAAATTCGGAAAAGGTCTGACGCAAATAATAAAGAATTTCTCCCAGTGCCTTTTATCCGCACCCCACAGTATCGATTTCATATTAATTCCGGCACATCCTCTTTAAACATCCTTCGGGTAAAATCTTTTTTTAACGATTGAATGCAGCGTTGATGCTTTCTTACCTGGTAGGATAGGTGGCTGCAAATTACAGGCAAATTGCGTGTTGAACGAATCCGCGGTCGCGTTGATCGATAGTTCGTTGATTACGTTGCCATAACGCAAATTTAGTTTCTCTCGGCTTTATTGCCGTAACCAACAGCGGGATACGTGTAATTCCCGCGACTTGATACCGCAAGGACCAAAGCAACGAAGTAATTTCGACAAACACATATACATTTAATAATTATACATATATCACTGTCTTGATGAGAAGTTAAAATATTGCTAAAACGCCTTTCCTGTTGGATGAAAGATCTTAAATTACATAAGATTGATGGCGTAAAATCGTCGTACTTCTATGCAATCAGTAAAGGAGTAAAATTATATTTTTTTTAATTCTATTCCCGCATTAAAAAAATGAATCTACGTTCTGAACAAGACCGTCCTACGTTCGCGACTAAAAATAAAGCGATCAATTAGCTTATGAAAATGGATCGTATCAAACGCACTGCAATTATTTCTTACGTACAAATCACTAAAGAAAAAAATTACTTTCTCATACGCTTAACGTATCAACGTCAAAAAGATTTTAATTATTACTTAATCCAGAATAACGCGTCATAATTTGGTTTCCTTTGTTAGCGTAAATTATCCGTCACTCTTTAAAAAAAGGAACAGTAAATTGACCATTGTTCTTGGGCTATACGGTGTTGCATTTATTTAAATCACTATTCATGATGTGACAGATCCTTTTATAATTTAGTTTGAGCGATGGCTCGGTAGAAAGTTGCATGAGAGAAATGGAAATCTAATTTCCCGACAGGAACTTGATGTTCGGAAACGGAAAATCGGTTCACCGACGAAGAATCGTAATTAGACACCGCTTTGATCGACCAGATTTAATCGTTATTAAAGATTGTGCCTACGTTTACCGGAAATTACCCTTTCAATCCCACGCACTAAAACGTTCTTGGCACTATGAAGCTCTTTGACGGAAGCTCTGCCCACAAAACGGAGAGATATTGATACGGGAAATGTGTTATACTGAATTGTAAAGAGAAACGGGGTGCGGCTTTATGAAAAAAAATCAGTTGTTACTAGATTTCTGCCGAGGGAGAGAAAAGACTATATTCTCGTGTCTAAAAAACTATTGAGAAAGATATTAATATTCTGTACATAAAATCTATGTCAAATTTCATAAATTCCATATAGCAGAATGTTCTACCTAAAATTCAGAGAATTCGTCGACATACATTCTCGTCCAAAAGTATTAGGACCCTCACAGAATTTGATAGGAAATCTGGAAAGTCGTTAAGAGACGATAAAAATCTTTGTGACTTATAATTAAATTTGTCAGGATTGAGACATTAATATATTTTTTATGAAGTTTTTTCCTTTCAGTTTCTGTCAGATCGTACCTACGTCAATCCTCAAAGCGATGACTTCGGTGAAGAGGAAGAAGAGGATATCGAAGACGAGGAAGAGGAAACAGAAGTCGAGCCGAAAGAAGCCAAGAAAGGTGACGTGAAGTTTCCTGATTTTGTGGATTCTCCGAAAAAGTACGAAGTGATCGGGACTCTCTCGGATCAGGAGGTAAGAGTATTCAGGTTCCATTTTGAAGTGATTAACGCTCTGCTGGTTTCTACCGCCAATTCATCCTCGTTCATTGTTCCGAAACACGGGATTTTTTCTCGGTCAATTTATTTTTCTGTACAGCGTCCCAACTGAATGAACCGTTTTACTCTCGCAGCGAACGCGAAACAATGCCAAACGACCAATTTTGTATATTCATTTATCTTTTTTTCTTGTTCAATGACAATCTCTCAAACCTGCGATCGTTCTCGAGATTTTCCAGTACGTCTGGAATTTCATTTTCTTTCAATTTCGGGTATCGCCTGACAGGTGTATGAGCATGTAAAATAGCCCAATATAAAATTAAACTCTATACAATTCGACGAAATGCTTGGAATAGAATTGAACGTTGTTGATGCTCCCTCGACGATGCTTCAATGCTGTCAGTGAGTTTATTCTCGCAGACGCAATTCTTCCTCTTCATCTGTTTTCTCATCAGGTTTTCCATTCAACTCTCTATTGTAACCCACGAATAGAATAGATTTATCCTTGGCCACAGTTCGTTTTTATTACATTGAATCTCGTTCCGCGCCCGCAGCACTCCCCACCCGAGGACGTGGCTATGATTATAAAGGACACAAGCAATCGCGAGATGTTTCTGCAAAAGTTGATGAACTGCGGCATCGTGATATTCGACATCACACTGGATCGCAACCAGGTCGAGGAGGCTCGATGGGCGTTGAAATGTTAGTATCGAAGAATGTCGGCGTATCGAATCGTGTTAACCGTAACCCGACTCTTTATTTCACTGGGATATTTCAATTCAAATTCGATCTCGATTCGGAATTAGTTGCTCACATCTTGGCGTTTGCTTGGGATAATTATCCGACGTACTACGGGGAAACGTGAATTCTGCTTCGCAAGAGGGAGAAAACAGCTTCTTCCCAGGGGTAAATAAAGTACTTGAAATATATGAAAGCGGAGTAGAGAGACCGTGGATTCTAATTTTTTTCAAAGACAATGGGTCGTTAAAAGGTGCGCGCGGCTGGTCTTCGAGGAGGATGCTGTGTTCCATATAAAACGGAGATGTTTGCTCCCTTGCAATTTCTACGCGCTGACGCCCAGCTCTCAGCCTTGAACTCGCTCCTTTTTCTCGTCATTACATCTGGGATGATATCCTTTTTATCGGGATCGTATGCGTGGGTGTGTACGGAGCGTATCGGGATCCCTGGTCAACATGATTTTAATAGCGGTCCCAGGAGACTTAAGCTCTGGTGTTGACTGAAGGGATCATTTCTCGTGGCGAACAAAGCGTACTAAAATATTTTAAGACGGCACAGCGATTTTTACTCGAAATCCATAAAAGCGACGGTTAGAATCTTTAATACTCCCCTGCTGCAATTTTATCTCTATAAACATGTTCGCGTTGCGGTAAACGTATAGATGAGCCGCTTAACGTAAAAGTGGTGTACCTCAAAAGAGTTAATCTCGAGCTAATAATAAGTCCGTTAAAACTTTTATAAGTAATCACAGATCTTACAGGAAACAATTGTCGAATTGTTCCTGAAGACAATAAGACCCGTTTTGTTTTGAAAAAATCGTTGAAAACATAAGCGTTACTCGCAAAACTTCGGTGTGTCTAATCCAAAGTGCTAACAATAAGATGTAGCGCTCTTTCATACCCAAAAACAGGCTTTGCCACAGGATTACCATGTTTCGATGTTTTCTAGAAGTTTTCACACGCTCGCTCTAGTTCTGACTCACCCCTCTCTAAGGGGATACATACGTGACCAGCGTACGTCAATGACGTATTAAAGAATCACTGAAATCGGAGAGTTTATCTGTACATTTTCTCCTGTGCTACTCCAATGTATTTCATAAATCCAGCAAAAAATTATCAGCCGTGCCGACTTCGCGTTTTGTTCGCCGTTTCCAGCTATCGTTCAAGAGTTGGAAAAGAGGGAACAAATATCGCCGAAGGCCTTTAGACGTAACAACGAAGTGCGTTATTTCATTTTGATATCGACCTTGATGACTTGGGCCAACACGAAACCCCTAAGCCCGGATGAACCGGATTTACCATTCACGGAAGAGGACTACCGAAAGCGGAAACCTCATCCGAACTTCAAGGATCATATTCAATGCGAGAAGGAAGTGGTGGTAACAAAGAAGAAGACGAAATTAAAGGATAAACTGAAAACGTTGGTACTCTGTTGCGGAATAACTTATGGCGATGAGCAAGGCCCCCTGCATCATTTGTTCAAAATGGCGTGGCATAATGCTCCATTTCTACCGATTTTTGGAAAAGGAACTAATAAAATTCCCTTGCTGCACGTTCGCGATCTATCCAGGTGAGTGTAAAACAATTTACACGAGTGCCCACGATTCTGATTCATGAAATATGAATTTAATTCTAGTGAAATAAGATACGATATACATTCCTTGAAAATATGATATAAAGATTTATTAGCTATGTATAATACTGTAATTTTTAACGATGCATAGCGTAATACTAGATGTGCTTCAAAGTTGGCCTGCGCTGCGATATATTGTGGCTACAGAGCAGGAACCAATTTCACAAGCTGCCATCGTCAAGGTATCGTGTAGAAAAATCTTTATCGTAAATTCTAATTACACGTGTATTTTGAATGCTTGTCTTCTATGTTACCTTTGTACGAAGTTCTTCCTTTGTACAAGTTGATCCATTGACAATTCCTTCCACCCCAGTTACTTTCTTTTTAAAGACTCAAATTCTTTTGCACTTCTTACGCACTTACTTTCCGTGTGATGATGTGATTGATTAAATGTCAAGGAGTTACAGCTTCATAACTGTTCACTCTCAGTGTTTGGTTCGGAATTTAATAGTCTATCACACGACTGTTAATAGAGGTAGAGTAACTGATAGCCTGAGAGTTTAACGTGTTAATAGGTAGCAGATGCTATCGGAATGGATATGGCTTGTTCACACAAATTAGCTGTGATCAGCTTGAGTAATAATCATTTAAGGCAATTATTTTTTAGAGTGTTTCATGATTATCTCTGGTGAGTTTAATTTTCTAATTAAAAACTGACTGGGATAATAAAACAAATTACAACGATTATAAAACTTTGCCTCAACTCATATATTTGAGCGTTCTTCTTGTTACGAAACTTTACTTTGCCAAGAGCCAAGATGGGGATACTGTTTATATGTAGATACTCATTATAAAAAGAGGAAAAATAAGAATATGAATTCCAGCGATGCATTATTGGAACGTACATGAACTCGTTTCGCAGAAAATCAGTAGGGCATTAACTACTGGCAAGGTGAAAAAAATCGCAGAGGAAGAAGCTTTTCTATTACCGGAAATCACGCAAGAATACTACGACCTGATGACGATGAATTTAATCATGGACCCGGTGTACATTACGGATAGAATATCGTGGCACAGTGACACTCCATTCGCTGACAGCATTAATGAGATTGTGAAGGCGTACAAAACAGCTCGGAATCTTCAGCCTGTGAAGATAATTGTACTGGGACCTCCGGCATCCGGGAAAACCAAGGTCGCCCGTTATCTTGCCGATCATTATCAGATACCTTACGTTCACGTCAAATCACTGATACAGGACACAATCGAAGAACTAGTTAGTACAGATGGCTTAAAACAGAGTATTAAGTGTAAGAACGTATTTAATTGAATATTCATTTCGAACAGTCAAAGGAAATCGAGGAGGTCACTGCAGCTGAGAAAAAAGGAGAAGGTGAGGTGGACGCGGAGGACGAGGAGGATGTCGAAGACGAGGAAGAAGAGGAAGAAACCACACGTCTGGAGGAAATGCAGGAACTGTTGGATGAAATCGAACGAAACATGCAAAGGACTAACGGTCGTCTCGAGGACGTCCTTGTGAATAAGTTAGTTCAACTTGATGGTTATTTGATCCTTCCAGAGCGGTTTTGATTACATAATTTGCATACACATTTCCTGCTCTAAATTGAATCGGTAATCAAATCGAACCTTAAGGAGCTAGGGTAGTCACGTATAGAATCGAATGGCGTGAACCCATATTTTTGGCCAAATAAGTGGATAACAGTGACGCTCTGCCTTATCGCCCCTCTGGAGTCTTGAATTTGGTAATGACTCGGTTCGTTCCTTGTTGCGGACAATGTTGAGGCAATCGTTCATCCGCATGCAATATGATTTATTGACTAGGGTAATTCGTGGTCATCGCACGACAATTCGTGCCATAATTCCGCTTTAAAGATTGACTCGCCGCAGAACTTACACACACACACATACGTGAGAAATTTAATTTCGAGGTGGGGTACACGTGATATTTGTATTAATAGGCACCTGTTATCGACCCACACGATGCAGTGACACCGCGTTTTCATCAACCTGCCTCGCGGAGCTTCTGTTCTACGTAGAGCCACGCAAACAGTTTCCGGCTAATATCGCGTTTCTACGTACATCATATGTGTTGCGTGTTATTTTCAGAGGGACGAAATTTCGTGGTCAGCATACGCGTAACATGTGCAAAATACCGGCATTGAATTTTAAGCTAAACTATTCATTAAACTGAGGTGCAAGTATATCAAATTAACCAACGTGAAACATATGCAGAAATGTTTGCCACGTGTTCACTGCAATTCCACTAATTCTAATGATACCTTAATCTTTCTTCTGCTTTAACGATGTGATATATATACACATGTATATGTATAACAGCAACTATGGAATACATAAAGAGTAGTTAAATTGAAGGGTTCAAAATGCAAGATCGTGCTGAATCATTAGCATGTTTTGACAAAACCCTTTTCACTGATTGCGTACCATTATTCTATTTCAATGACGACAAGACTCTCGAATTGGTAAATCCTGGATATATACTGGCTGTGTCTATTGTGCCACTTAAGGGTTCACTGACATTCCGGTGAAGCGCGATTGTAGATATATATAGATATGCGCTTAATCGCATTTCTACATATGCAACGCACGCCGCATTGTCTCTTGTAAGGATGCTTCAAGCACACAATGGTGTTTATACGCCCCTGTAGTGGTCCTTTGGCTTTTCAACATCCATTCTGAGAATGACTGCTCTCTTATTGTCATGACATGCCATTCTTTGTGCACAGCAGTTTAATAAATTTTTATGGACCTGAAATATCTGCTTGCTCGTGATCGAAATTGATCGTAATTTATATTATTTCATTTCTTCACGCATTTCGTTGAATATTCGTAACAGTTTTCAATAATTGTTACTAATCCATTGAATGGGCTATACATCAAATATTAATAAACGTCTCAGCATAGAGTTAATAAGCAAAATGACCTCGTTGCGTATATCATTATCGTAACTATTTCAACCGTAATTGTCGTCTTTTGTGATTTCCGAATTCTAAAACTAATCGCCTAGAGTTAACATCGTCGATCGTACAATGCACCTAATTATATAATCTTGGCATAGATTGTTTTTCAGAAAGTTGCGTTCGAAAGAGGTTTCGAATCAAGGCTACATTATGGACGGTTATCCAAAGACATTAGAACAAGCCAGAGAACTGTTCGGCGGGGAAAATTTGGCCGGCGTAGACGAGGAAGTGGATGAAGAGACTGAAATTGATACGGTGGACACTATTATGCCCGAGCTGGTCGTATCGTTGGAGGCGCGTGACGAGTTTTTGAAAGAAAGGATTATTCATCGGCCCGAGAGGGAGATTCAGGGCACTCATTACACGGAAGAGCACATGGTGCGTCGTTTGAAGGAGTACAGGTAATGCTAGCAAACATGTTGTTTCTCGGGTTCGATGTCGCTACGTCGTATCGATAAAGCGAGATCGCACGACTATTGTGTATTAATTAAATCCGAAGGTATCGCAGATTTACCTCATTCAATTAATACAACTTCAGCAATTATTTGCAAATAAAAGTTTTTTTTAATTTCTCGAATATATGATTACTGTTCAATGGTAATCGTATGAAATTAACAAACAATTGTGTAGATACTAAATTTAACATCAGCGTATGCATTCAAAGCACGTACAATTCTCTGATTACGCGTATTAAATTCATAATAAACGACGGAAAATGAGATGAAATAAAGCAATTAGAGATGTTATTGAGTCAGTATCAATAACAGAGCATTGAATTCCTTGACGAAGAAAGGAAAACGAAAATTATTATAAAACAAAGCGATTGTTACGAACAAAAATAATTTTCTACTTTAAAAGACGTCCAGAATCACATTTATTCCGCGAGATATTAAATACACCAATATTGCGGTGCATTTAAGTAGTATTTTGTAAGATACCGAGGATTTTATAGGTTTCTCCGATAATATCCTTTACCGTAGAAAGAGGAATACGGACGACAATACGCCGTTGCAGTTTTTCGACGAGATAGAAATCCATCCGCTCATCATCGATGTGGAAGATGACGTATGTCCTGACATGTTCCCTACAATTTATCAATGTCTCCAGAGAATTGGTCTACCGCGAAACTATGGTAACAAATGCCTTTGGCGTAACCAAATTCATCGTTCATCACCCAGTCGTCTAAGGGGAAGTCTCTTTCATCATCGAGACATTCGAATCTTTTACTTACAAGACGCGTGCACAAATTCAGTAAAATTTTGCCTTACCTGTACGAGAAGTTATGCGATATTTTGATGCGAAACGAGAAGCTTGCAGATGTTTCGTTGTTGGAAAATCTAACAAAAAATATGCAAACCATGTCCTGTCGTAATGATACAGTACATATACTTCGAAAATGGTTTGTTGCAGCATGAAATATATTCATTACGCAAACTCTCTCGTTGCTCTAAATTTATCTAAATATGATTTTAAACTTGTCATTCAATTTACATTCTATCTTTAAATCCACGTTTAAAGGTAATAGCCATTTTCGTATTCGTTGATTTTAAAATACATTAGATTTGACAAAAATTCTCAACGCACCGTTCGTCTCATAAGGCTTGACTGCGGAGGAAGCAATGGACGCCCGAAAGCTCGCCGAGAAGGAAGCGAGCGAAGCGGAAACAGCCGCCAAGCTGCAAGCGGAAAGGGAATTCCTGGAACGTAAGCGGCTACGCGAGGAGAAGATGGAGGAATGGGTAGGAATTAATTGCTTTCAATTGACAATGGGAGAGAGAATAAACATAAGAAACGTAGAAGCGTATTACAGATGCTGGGAGTTTAATAATACAATTCTTCAGATAATTTATTTTTACAAAAGCTGTTATACCACTTTGAACCACTGTGTAATAGACTGCTTCTTTGATTTCACGTGCTTTTCCTATCGTCCATTTTAAAAACAAAAGAGTAACAAAGGAGATTCGTGGGGAAAGAGAATTATCGAACGTAATCAGCGAATTATGATATTTTTCTACAGCTTCTTATATTTCCTTCGTACTTTCATCTCTCTGTTTATGAAATGCGTATGCCTTTATCGCGATAAAACTCGACGGATATCGAGAAATCGCTATACTGTGAAAACAGGAAGCGACAGAACAATTCAATAACTTTAAATGAAAATGACGAACCAAGAATCGGTTAGAATATACGAAATAGAACTGCTTTTATCTAGAAATATTTACAGGGTATTGATATTTCATATTGAAATGATAATATTCTTCTGTCATACCTTTCGTGATAATTTAATTTTGCATTAATTTGTCTAAGGGAAACAGACATATGTAGCTGTAAACGCACCTTATTAATAATACATGATTGGTATGGAACATGTTAAACATTCCGGAGAATACGCCATTGCGAGCGTAATATCTTTTTTAGAAACTGTTATCGGAAAACGCAAATTATCGGTTTGTAATTCTAATGAGTACGTATGAGAAATCGAAAACGAACCGTCGCATAAATCACGTATCAGCACAGACACGAGCTTAATGATTGATTCTGGTGAAACGTTAACGATATCGTTATTTGGGTACGAGTTCGTGGTTGTGCTTTGTTCGTGTGGTGGCTCTTATGCGAAATTAATTAACAAAAGCGTACAATATTTTTAATGAAAATTCTCTGGATTTGCTATTATTTTCCTTTCGTGTATCAGATGATTTTAATTTTCGAGCATATTCATTCCAAAGGAAACAATTATGTTTGGAATGAGAATTCTTATTCTTGCAGACGCAGCTCATGGAGAAATTGATAGAAGAAGAGGAAGAGAAACTGTGCATAGCTGGTCTACCTTTGCGCCACTACTTAGTGAAGTACGTGTTCCCAACGTTGACAAAAGGACTGATCGAAGTTGCGAACCTCCGACCGGACGACCCAGTCGACTTTCTCGTGAGTTGAAAACGGTACCTATTGTTTTGTCTCTGGGGAATGCATATGATGTTTCGCGGTAATGATCTGGCAAAGTTCTTTCTTACCATTGCTCCATCTCCCGTACTGTTCCGCTTCCCCTTCGGCGGTTTTAAGGGGAAAGGAAACAATAGACGCAATTGAACGGAAATGTGGAATCGTGCTCCATGGACCTCTGATTGGGTCATCTTCAATTGCAAGGTTCAAGTTCATTTACTTAAAAAAAGAATAGAAGTGAGAGCTAAATTGATACGAGATTGCTCCTACATAAGTAGACAATAAATTATATGGATTATTTTGACGTTTATAGACTGGGTGGAAAAAATACGACATGCGTATCCGTCCACTGTTTGCGTTGAGAGACACCGCGCACCGTGCCGTATCGATTAGCTTTTCTTTTATGTAAGACAAACGGAGAGGGGTACGGTCAAAGGGAAAGAGTGATATATAGTCGAGGTAAATTCCCATTACCTTCGACGCTTCCTGGGTTACCAACGATTCAAGTTTCGCGCTTCGACTCGCGACACGTCCTTCGTATTACCCTTCTTCCGAGATGATGCTTCGCGTAACGAATCGATTCTTTTGCGGACCATCATGCCTTCATACGATCAAAGCTTAACGAGTATTGTTGTTAAAGGACACAACTCTCCTCATATCATTGAGTCCGGGATTATACAGATTCCACCTTGAACCCACTTCAAGATGTTATAAGGTGTTTGAGGCAGATGATTTTTATGCAAATTACTAATACAAGATAGTAATAAATAGTATCCGCTATTTTCTTTTTGTAATTTTATTAAAAAAAATAATAAGTCCGTGAATATTAATGTTTTTTTTATTTGAAATATCAGTCTTGATGTCTTCCTTTAATAGACTCCAGTAAGATTCGGAAATTGTTTTTCATAAAATTCCAATATCACTAAACAATTGCAATTTCATGATTAAACGTGAAGATGTTTATCGATTTGAGGAAGAAAATCATAACAGGAAAAATTGAAACCGCGCGCACACAAATGTCATGCTCTGGCGACAAATGATGCTCTCGTACCGCAGGTGCTCGTATTTTATGAATAATCGACGTAATATTGTAGAGAGCATTTATCATTTGCTTCAACAGTTCTCCTGTGTACGATCAAACACGACGGGACAATTTTTTTTTGCTAGTAAAATCCAAATAGAAATCAAGTGTATAATTATTGTTGGTATGTAGTAAAGTTAAATGAAAAATATTTAAAATATTACTCGGTATTTAATAACACGAGATTAATCGCTAGAAATTATGTCGGTGTACAGCAAATATGCGTGAGATATGTTTAATATGTTACAGTTCAGAAACAATGCTTCTGATACAAAGCAAACTTGTCGGACGTTCATAATATACGACATACTTGCAAACTGACTTTACTGAACAATGTGTGTCGCTCTTTGTTCAGTCTTATGAAAGCTAACATATGTACATATGCATACGTATATATGTATGTATGTCTATAATACAGGTGGCGTGCATCTTATAAGAAAAGGAATTTATCGATTAGATTAGACACTGTTCAGGATTTAAATATTACTTTTCATGAAAAGATTCATCTAATAGATTAACGTATCCAGGCCTTTTTCTTTCTTTCTGATATAAACTATTTACTGTTATACGTTACTTTAATAAGTTAACTTTTGCTTGCTTCGCTGCTAACTTGCGATATTATCAAGTAAATGGAATTATAATGAAAAAGAAGTTTGTTCGACGGTTCAATCGATCAATTTGTAAGACGAATTCCTGTTCCGCTTCGCAGCGTGTCCACGATATTGTTTCGCATATTTCAAATTCACAACAATCGTACGGTTAATTGCAGTAAAGGAAACCGTGATTACAATAATTATTCAGATATAAATCGATAATTTATTTTTGATGAAGAAAGTTCGAATTCCATAATTCAATTTTCCTCGCTTGGAATGTTCCTGCAAGAATTCGATCAACCTTAACTCGGCCTAGACATGCTAATACAATATCGACATTTAATTAACAATTGTTATGTTACGCTCAATTTCTATTCAAATCCAGCTTAACTACATTGAATCATCCTACACGAGTTCAGCGTGAAACAGTAGATTCGTAACGAAGTTTCTGCTTAGTTCTGCGGACAAATTACAATAGTATAAATAAACTTTAACCCGGAATTCCCGAGATATTATGTTGAAGCAGTTGCTAGCATCCATCGATAGCGAGAGATCTCGCAATATGGTGAGTTTTAATCGTAGACATGTTACGGTTTTAATAAGCAAACGTCTATCGTTTACAGCAACTAACTGCTACATATGTTTTCGTGTTGTACATGGGTTCATAGAGCCTATGTAGACAGATGGGAATTAATGAAAGGTCCAGGATGAATCCTTTGAATGACGCGTGACGCGAATTCAGATTATTATAGTAACAACGTGACAGCCAGTGAAACTGCGAATATCAGTCTCGTCGGATACCGTTTACATTTCCTAGATTGCATCGTCACGGAAATTGAACAACGTGAAAAGCGTGTTTCGCCTTCTTGGCCAGGTGAATCTTTAAGCAAGGATTCTCAATCATCTATTGTTTGTTATCTCTGGAGTACATATATGATACTTATATTAAATTTATTGCGTACGTGAAGGCGTTGAAGTTAAGTTAATCTAATTAGCATACTCAGTCGCACAGCTGCGTTGCATCGTTGTTCCGCAGTGACTACTTTAAATACGAGAATAGACTGTGGCGCGGCGGGATGGGCAGGAGCGCGCCTTACTTTCGAACTCAATGAAGCTTCTCAGACAATGTAATTTCCTTGCTCGTTTAATTACACTCGGTTAACACGATGGAAATTGAAAGCGAAAATGTAGGTTTTTAATAAATTGTAAGGACACAGTGAAATTTATAAATACCCGTACGTACATACGTTTCAGAATTGGGTAACTTTTATGAGTTTGGATTAACGAATTCATGTTTGTTTCGATATTAGGGAGATTAATATTAGAGATATTGCATGATGTGCAACATAATTTTCTTCACATTAACCGCTAACATTTATTAGCGAAATTACATATCGTTTCTACTGAGCAATTCATAATGCTGATAGTGATACATATCTAGGAACTGACATTGTACGTTATGAGCTAAAACATTTTCCTTCTTCGCGCATGTATGATCACGGATTAATTTAAGCCGGAACACAGAGAAAATTTTATGTAAATTAATGGAATTCTCATTACGTAACCTTGACATAACTTTAGCTTTGACCAATTTTCTGCGAACATTTCTCACATTCTCTTTTAGTAGCTTTTAATCTCTGCGCTTTCATTTTTATTTTCTGTTACGTCGGATTTTATAATATATTTCCGCGAAAGATGACTTAGAAGCAACTGAACGAAGTTATTAAGCGGAAGAGGAAAGATAAATATTAATACAGATATTTTGTCCTTAAATGGTTGTTTCTGCATTCAGCCTTGAAGAAAGTATGTTAATTTAGACAAGCTCTAACGACTTTCGAAAGTTGTTCAAACGAAGTTACGTTCATTAAGCGGTTATTATATAAACTTGCAAGGAGTCCCGCAGACGTATCAGGCATATTGATTTCTGCCTGTTCAAATAACTTTTACTCTTCTGCGACCTTGAACTGTTTCAAAGTTCCTTCGGGTTCATTGAATTCGTCTCTCTTTTCTATCTTTTAAACAGGCGAAATAACTACGTAATTTAATTGGTTTTTGAAAAATCAAAACAAACTCAGTTTGAGATAATCTGTACGAACAAGGAAAACGTTTCCCTCTTGCAGTGGCTTTGAATGAAAAACCAGTCAGAGATATACATACATACCTCTGTGCTTTCTTCCGCCGTTTAACAATTATTTCACGCAGCACTTATCTCGAAGCATAGATAGTCAGCCATTTATATGATAGACTCTATCGCACGAACGTATATTATTCAGGTATAGAAAAATTCTTCATTGTTAACAAAAATATTAAAAACCATTTCTTGAAGATTATAGTTTTTCAATGCAGGAACGTTGAGAAATGACTGCGTTAGCGTATATCGCAAATATAGCATTGAAAAGTGAAAACAATGTAACGCGGCCGGAATTGGGAAGTGGGTCAGAAACTTAAGGATCGACCCATTTTTAAGTGGGCCGCGTACGCATCATGTATTCGAAAAGAATATCGAGAGACACGTCCGCCCTGTTATATTCCGATTGGATACGCGTTGTATAAAGCATCCTACAGCTGTACCATTCCAGTTTCCCTCGTCAATAATAATACCCATCTGTTTTGTTCGGAATGAAATTGAATTTATTAAAAGCTTCTCGTATACATATTTCGATACACGTACAATCAAATTGAATTTATACGAATGACCTTCGAGTTCTATTTTTAATTTAAATAGATTTTTATTCCACTAACTTGTTAAGCTACAACTACCTAAATTTACAGTTATATGAAAGCAAACTTTTAATTTAATCCATCCGCTCTCAGGCTGAATACCTGTTCAAAGAGAATCCTGAGGGCAAGATGTTCGAGCCGGACTACACGGCGACAATGAGCTCGGTCTTGGACGTAATCGAGAAGTTCGGTGCCAACATTCTTCCAGAAGAGGAATTCAGCGACAAGGTAATGCAGCTTTTAAAACGAGATAGCAAGCTATCGGATGAGACGACGGACAGCAGTGAAATCGACGTGTGCACAAGCCGGAAGGTAACGACGTGTGTCACCCCATGTTTCACCTACGATGACACCGACTCGTATGAAAAAGAAGACGAGTCGACCTCCGAGCAGACGGAGGACTAACTAATTGTAAGTGAGAACGAATCGCAAGGCTCTATCGGCGGAACATAGCTGATTAACCAACGGATAAATAATTACTCTACACATAAGACGGAAACGACAGTGCAAAAATTTTATTCCTTGTTTTAGATTTATTTTTACATAGAAAATTACCAAACAGCCGGCTGTACTACGATTTTTGTGTATTTGTGCCAACCCTGAATTCCTGTGATCCGAATATAATAGTGCTCTTGTTGTTATTCCTCGCAGAAAGGAAAGGTAGAAAGTGCGGTGATTGTGCAATAGTGATTACGCACAGATTTCATGTACTATTTTCTGTTCATAATCTGCATGATACCTTGATTTTGTGTCGGAATGAAGCATTTGTATAAAATGATGAAAGGAAAACAATGAGTCACATTTCGTAACGTTGACAATCGTACTTCCTTATCATAGAAATGAAGTATTTGTGTTAATAAAGTAGTTACAGAAAGCGAAATTTAATGGTTTTAACGCTGTAGAAATGTGGAATTTTCTTTCGAAACAGTTTCAACAAGAGACAGCTGCCTCTTTTATAAAATCGTTTAAGCGATGGAACGCGTCGCCGTAAGCGAACAAGTATCCCAGGCGGCTTATACAGATAATTGCCGTGCCTACGCCCTGTTCTAGTTTTGTTTAATTGAAAATGAGAAAAATTGACCGGGAAAGGTTTATCCCCTACTGTATAATTATAATTGTTTCCTTTTTCTCTTCTGTTACACATACGAGCAACGAGAGAAAAGTAGAAATTTTACGGGCCATTTAATCCCTGCAGGATTATTTCAAAGATGAAGTGTACGTTTCTTAACACCGTAAGCTTTAGTAAGAATAAAGTAGCGTAAATTATTTAAATACATACACGGGATCATCGTGGTAACAGAAACAGTTTACGTAGTACCTTTATTTCGTTATGGCCGTAACTGCATATTTTCTGAGATAATTCTCACCGTATACTCATCCCTTTCATGGACGCTTCTGTGAGTAAAATAATAAAAGCATACAATATATTTGAAACCCAAAGACACATAATTTGTTCTGCTTGATTTAATCAGAATCGATCGTGAAATTTATAAAAATTCTAGAATGTTCGAATCGCAATGTAACAACATATAATTTCTTCTCTGAATAATTTTGCATTCGTGTGACAAAAATTTATTCTTCCCAATTATACATATACAATATGTAATTATTTTGTATATAAATATCATTGAAATATGTGAATAAATCGGAAGTAGAGAAACAATTGAAAGGATCGCGCGATTATGATCCGAATCGTTTAAACTGGATCCACTTTTTTAGAATGACCATCGCGTGCGTCAGGGGCGAGTGTGGTCCATGAAACGTAAAATAAACGTCGCGAGTCCTTGACCGTTCTACGCACACGCAGCAAAAGCTTGTTGGAAAATGGACCAATTTGTTTAAAGAGATCATACGATCCGCTAAGGTCCTATATTGATAACATTCATTTTGTTCAGAGAACGTGAAGTCAATATTGTGGCGCGCGAGGTAGTTTTTTCGTACTAGAAATATTAGGTTACTGTAGCCGTATATGAAGACTGAAAAAACGTTATCGCATGGATGAAAAGTCTGAAAACTGAAAGCAACACGTAAAGTCTATCACTGTTTCAGATTTGACAATTTTATTCCCGATCGGATTATTGGCTTTTAAACGCTGCCGTAAAATCGTACATATTGATTTAGGGAACAGTATGATGTAGATAGCGAGAAATGGAAAATATTCCCGATCCCTGCTGAACGCTTAAATAAATATACGACACTTGAATCGTGTGTGTTCCCGAGTCAAACAAGTTTTTGTAAACATCGAATATATTATGTTGAATAAATCTCGTTATATTAAAACAAATGGTAGGAAATGGCGTACCGATTTACTTTAAGAGCTGAGTTTCAACGAATCATAAATTTAAATGGATCAGAAAGCTGTTAGCGGTACAAGTTGATTTATCATTGTCATAATTACATATGTATAAATATTCCCATTTGAGAACGCGACCGCGCGTTAAAAATTTCTCGTTTCCAGAATGAATAGATACTACTTACTTTTCCCATCGAGATACAAGCGGCCTTGCGAGGCCAAGGACGATGCTATCACATTGTTCCTCGTCTTTAACATGACGTAGGTTTTGCTCCTTTCGCCGAGAGCTACTCGTACTGTGTACTATCGCGATTTACCGTTTGTTTCTCTTGAAAACAAACGGGAAATTGCTTTACATTGGGCAAGTAACAATGAAGCTACGCTTTCACGCATGTTTACGTGCCTTTACAAACTCGCAGGAATGCGTGTTTTTAAACCTATCGCTTAGACTTCACTGAGCATTCGAGATGAATCGATAAACACGCTCAGCTGTAAAAATGATAGACAAATTTTGCGAACAAAAATGATGTAATCTCCGTAGGGAATCACTATCGATCTTTTCTAGTGAACTAAATATAAATAGAATTGACAAATGCTAGTTTGAAAATAAATGCAACGCCTACGCTTTCTCGCGTATCGCCGTTTCGAAGTATGCCACGATGACATATTGCAAAAAAAGAACACACCGTCGAAATCGGAGGAATAACTTTATTTTTCTTCGAATAAAATATAATTGGAATGTTGGTATTACTGAATTCTATGAATTCGGGTATATATAACAAGCTTTGACGAATATTCCTCGATCCTTTTACATTTTTTACATTAAATCTTTATCCAAAGTACTCGTTTTATAAACCGAATGATAAGGCATAAAGGAATTGAATGTTATACAAAAATGTGATCAGGAATAGACTGCGGTTTTTTAATAGATTTACAGAAAAATTTACAGAAGCTTGAAAATTCTATAGTATTTCCTCTTCAACAAGCAAACGTTTCAATAACAAACAAAATAAGTTTGCTTAAATCAATCTACTAATCGATAAAATCGATCTCCAATCGCGTTTAAAAATAAAACCAACCTCCCCAATGCAATTGCGCGTCCCCGAATAGGACTGACAACGTTTAGCTCTAGCCGAACGCAAAATCGCAATCCGATAATCGACCTTAAGTCGATTAATTTACCGCCGAGAGTGCTTGAAAAGGATCGGATGGGAAATTGTGAATAATTTCATTGTCACCCCGGCGCACGACGTGACCCGACGCGACGCGACGTCTTGTACGATGAGTGAAGTATACATATACATAGTTGTAGCGCAGCCAGTATATCTGTATCTTCAAACACCTGTTAGCAGTTGCTCATGTGGGCGACTCGCAACATTACCTATAAATTCTCACTAGAATTAAGCACGAAAAGCCCGCTTCCTCTTTATGTTCCCGTGAACATTCTAATCGCGATGTCCCGTCACGACATAATATCTTTACTCGTGATTTTTCATACTCGACACAGACATTAGTCGTATAATTCTTACATCTTACAATCATAGTCGCCTATGAAACATAAACACATTTAAATAAGAAAAATTGTAAATAAACTCACCGGTATGACCCTGTACGGAGTAATTCGCCTCCTCGCTAGGGACCACGGTCTCCTCGAGTATGTTTTCCGAGGCGGTCTTCACGACACCCATGTCCGGTCCGATGCGTGACTAACGGAGGATCTGGTCGACGTGGTACGCGCTGCAAGCGGATGCGACAAAGTGATTATCTGGGCTTGATCGTGCCGCGTTGTCTGCCGCCGCTGGAATGCTGGGCGCCGCGCCGTTTCGCCGACTTATTGCGTCTGCGTTCGCGCCTGCGTTCGCCAGCTTTTCCCTTGAAGCCCTCCATCCTGCTCTCTTCTTACCCTCCTTGACCCTCGCGTGCGTACATCCTACCCCCCACCCTCCCTAGTTCTTCCTGCCCCTCAACGTTCCTTGGCCGGCAACACGTTACGTACAGGATGGGGTAGCAAGGCGATACCTGAACCAGGGTGAATAAAGTGCAGGCAGGAGTGGTGAAGAAGGGGCTGATGGTATGCTGGACTAAGTTGCCTTGGCTCGGAACGTCTGATCACCATGAAAGCTTCCAATATACTGGCCGCATGAATGCATGTTATGACCCAAATAGGTAGCACATAGTGGCCCAAACTATTTTATAAAATGGGAGATTGTTTAATTTCTTATTTCAGATACGTGTTCCATTTTTGTGCCGCAGATATTTTTAACACGGTTTCAGATAATATTGAATAGACTAGCAGCACGAACAATCAACGATTACAAGTCAACGAATTAGTACGAGTATTTATTATTGCTTTCTACAAATTCGTTATACATATCTCTCTGGCGCTCGCTACAGGTAGGGCGGAGTGCGCCGGTTCGAACACAGCACAGGGGCAATGTCGAGCAACTGGGTCTCGGTGAAGGTCTCGGCTAGCGCAGCTACTCGTGTCCGATAATGCATCCTCTTTCCTCTCGCCTGACGCTTTTTCACCATCCCATCGTTTTTATACCTACCCTCAGCTCTCAGTAGATTCGTGTTTGATCTTCGCCTTTCGTTGCCCTGCCCCTCGATGGCGTGACATGACGGCACTGTCATTTTTGTGCTCAATATCGTCGTGTTTCGCAGGGTTGCAATTAATACGTATACGCGCGTGTGAACAATTATAGTACGTACATGTAGTACAAAGTTGGGGGTATTTTCAAGGAGGGATTATGCTTTACCTGCATAATCCTATTCGTAAACAGTTCGCGCCTCCCCTACGAGGCAGGGTTATTGGATCCGCTTGCAGCACGTGCATGTCCTTGAATCTGTACGCCGGTATATATATAGATTACCGGGTGCATGAACCATGCGCACCCTATAATTGTTGCATTTTGTTCGCGCTTTTTCTACTCTTCGTGTCGAACGTACCTAATAGTTTGCCTTTGACACCTTAACGAGCAAGTATTTACTCACTTCTCTGGTAGCTGATAGTACAAAGCTCTCTGTTAAACACAATATGCTGACTTATAATTAACTATGTAAGTTGTCAGATTTCGTCGAAACTGTTTTCTTAAGGAATTTTAAGTAGATTAAAAAAAATTCTCTAAAGGATTGTTTAAATTATTTTTTCTCCTAGAACCATGTATTGCATCATCCCTAATCATGCTTTACGTAATGAATTTGATACTTGGAATGGTTAAAGTAAGATGAAAGCGCAACCAACAATTTACTAGCTGTTTCTCACAACCCTTGATATGAGTCCACCAACACCCAGAGGTCATGGCTTATCCGACAAAGGGAAACCTTTGAAGAATTCATAAGCATTGGCAGGCTCTGCCCTAAGATTTACGGAAACAGCTCTCCAAGAATAGAAAACCGGATGAATTATTAATCGAAATATTTCTTATGAGGCTGCCCCATCAGAATCTTTTCTCTCTTTATGTCTCTCTCTCTCTCAAATTTCTCAATATCCAGTGACCAATCTCGACATCCATCCTCATTATCTCGGCTATCTCATTGAATTCTCTTTCTTATGTATAGACGTGATATGGCCCGAAATCGAGCCTTGATTGTGCGAGATTTGTTGCACACACAAGAATTCTTGTATTTATTAAACGCACGTTTCGTATCAATGTATCTGTTACTGTGGTCGATGCTCATAAGCAAAAATCCAGAGGCATTGGTTGTTTAGAAAACTTTTAATATCATTTCTTTTAACAATAATAGGATAGTTATTTACAAATAATCTTTTAACAATAGTAGGTCATAAACGGTTATGCGATTTGACTTGTACGAAAGCGAAATACATACATATGTCTATTTCAACAGAATCTTCGATGTAATTGAAGGAAATATAGCTTGACGTAATGCGACAGCATATTAGGTCAATACCCTCCAATAGCCAATATCTATCTAATATAGCAAACATTTGTGGTCGGTTGCTACTCGGAAGGTAATAAGCCCTTGTATTCAGTAAATGCTAACGAACAACAAATTTTGTTGGAAATGTCAACATTTCTCAAGAACAATTACAAACATTAGCCCCATTCTCGTTAATGTATGTGTATCTACCTACCACGTTTGTCCTCTTCAAATAGCTCACAAATACGCGTGAATAATTTTTACAAATAGTAGGTGAGCATTTGCACGGATTTATGTACTTAGATCATCCGTCTAACTCCTCTGACAGTAAGTAACTTATGGGCACGTGGACTTGATGCGCGATAAGGATGCAAGGATTTCAAGGACTGCTTCGATCGGGGTTCACCCAAGGCCGACGGTGTTTCTCTGCCTGGGCCTCGGTTAGGGTGGCGCTTCTCTCTGATTTTCAACCCCTGCCGTTCCACTTTCTCTATTCCCCGATCTCCCGCAAAGCGTCCTTCCTTTCCAGCCCACCGTTCGCTGTTCGCTGCCATCAGTTGCCATCGATCCAATGATCCCGTTGTCGGGGCTAGATTCGCTTCTGTGTGTACAGATGTATAAATACGTGTACACATTTGAATGCACGAGAGAGAGACACGTGCATTGTGCATCGATGCAACTGGTGTAGCAAGGATCGATTTGAGTTCATTGTATGCTGACGTAGCACCCGTTGCATCCGCGACTTTTTCCCCTGGGTTGCCTGGGACAACGCTCAATATATGTATGTACGTGTACCTATAGCGGGCAGGCTGCGTCTGCAGCCACGTGTCCTAAACCGGCGCTTTAACCTGGGTAACGTTATGTCATGGCATTGTGCCGAGAGTCAAGGTAACGACAAAAATTTTAACTTCAGCGTAAAAGCTACAGACCAGTCTTTTTTAACGAATATCATTCGAAATTCTTTTTTGTCATATTTGGCCTAATACTTAAACGATGATTTTTATGAAATATTGGATAACATTTTGAATTTTCGTTTCTCTTAATAGTAGGTCTGATACATTGATTTAATCCGATCGTGTTTAACTGAACTACTGCAGTTTCCTTAGTATGAACCTCCGGGGTATCGTAGATATCGGAAATTGCGTTCCAAGTGTTTAGATTCATATCGCTCAGAGGCTTTCCTATCGTTTCAAATGTCCAGTTTGCCAGTATATGTATAGCACGGTATGTAGAATTGAGGATACAATTCGCTTTCTATTACTGCTTTGTTGTCACGTTTTTTGGATGATCTTTGGACGAGTAGTCTAATTAAATAAATTTGCTGCTTAGATTATAAAATTCCTTTTTACAACTTTATTTTGAAAGTCATTATAACATTGCATTTACGTATTAACGTCAAGAGAATAATTGATTTTACAATTTTAGTCGAGATTGGAACTGTTTAATAGGTGATTCTAGGAAACTAATATAAAATACAACTAGAAATTATTGCTAATGAGGTACGCTCATTAACGAGACCTATCGGCTGGCGTATTTTATCGTGCGTTATAATAATAGACCAACGTTTTTAATAGAATCAAGGAAAGGCCAGGTACTGGATTAATAGTCGCTTAGACGAACCAAATTATAATTGCTCGTTGATTGGGAATATTAATCTACGTTAATAGTACAACTCTGACGCGTATATTAACAAATGTTCATTACTCAGTTACAAGTTTAGTTATAAGTGTAAATAAAGATTTGTTGATTATCCATCAGTGACAGTATATTTTCTGTTTATTTGTTCCCTTCAAATCGTTCAGAAGCAAGTTTTGCTTACCAGCTCTTCAACAAGGTTCCATGAAACAATTAAATCTGTTTCGCTTTTCAAAATTTTAATACCAATTTATTTGCAGTTGGAAGGTTTTTCATGGTTTAATAATATACGATCGTCGTTTATTTTTTCGCCTCTGGCTCGGATATACAATTCAGCAAAACCTATTGGAAGTCCATAAGATGACGTTCGTCCAGCGCACGCGACACTGTACGTGACATTCTATTGGCAACGCGAAGGCGTGCCAATATACATATAGCGAAATCAGCTTTTCGATCTGCCACTGTTAATAAATGGAATTTATGTAGAATCGTTGATCCGTTACTAACAAACTTGCATAACTGGCACAAAGTCTCCAACGAATCGTGTTGTAAACGTTTATTCGTTTATTGGAGTTATATAAGTCCATAGTCCATATGTATTCTTAATATATCTACTAGTTCGATAAACAAAACTTAAAACACATTTAGACTTTGACGAGATCCAAACTTCGGGGATTACTGGGAAATCGATCATTTTGATCTTAACCAATTTTAGTGCCCGAATACGTTTAAGTTACTATGTATTACATGTATGATGTGACATACTAGAATTTAATATTATACTTTGATTCAAATGGCATCGTTCATTTTAAAAGTGTAAGTGAAGCAGAGCAAATTAAAACCTTATACATTTATCCTCGATTAAAACGCTGAAACATTACGAGTACTTCGATATAAATTGTGGTTGCCAGCAAAATTGCATCTTTGCAGGTTTTATTCAAAGCTAATTGCGTATGTTCAAATGAAAAAAATCCTCAGTGTTAAATGAAAGATTTTAATTGAAACTTTTCCATCCGTTTTCTGTAATTTAATGATACAGCGGTTAAATCGTTGAAGTGGAATTTCATTAAGTAAAAATTCACGGCTCGATGGAAAGCTTCGCGCATTGCAATTGCTATGGTAACCGCTCTGTATTACTAAATTAGTATTGTCGTCGCGTAAATGGTAGCTGATTGCTCTGCGTGCATACATTGCAAATGTCCTTCTTGAATCGCACAGGACGGCTCGCTCCAACTATTGGCGTGACTTGTTGCGTACGTAATCCGAGTCCCTTCGATCGCGTTGCCACTCCAGATAGCAAGCGCG